TTAGGCCCAGGCATCCCACCGTTAAACCCGTGGACGGCATGCGCGCCTTCTTTGGTGAAGATTACTATATGTGCAGATTTCAGGTTTTAATTTAATTTCTTTAATTCTACATTTATTATTAATGACATTCTATATTCTAAAAATCTGCTTTTAGGGGAAATGCTAAAGTACCGTTACGGAATCATTCCGTCGGGATTTATAACCGTTAGATCATCATGTAACCGTCGTGGATAGTTGATCTAACGGTTACAAATCCCGACGGAATGGTTCCGTAATGAGTCCGTAGAATCTCCCCAAATATATCTAAAAAAATTATTTTAATATTTATGCATTAAATATTCGTTATAGATCATAATGATCGTTATTTGTACAGCTGGTAAAAAGTATTATTAATATTCACATCACGTGATTTATTATATTTCATGATGCACGCTGTCCTCTTTTACTGTCTGTAGCCAACAATTTTCCATTGACTCGTTTCACCGATGTGTCGGGATCTTGAGTCGTTTGAACTTTGAAGCTCGTAAAGGCTTGAAAATACGATTTTTACGTAATTTTCTGGAAATTTAACTTAATTTGGCGAGCTAAGGTTCGAGTTCGACTCGTTAATATTTATAGGCAAGTCTAAACTTGTGCTCGATAGAGATTATTCGAGCTCGAGTTGATTGTCAAAAGATATTTAGTATTTGGAGTCTAGCATATAAATGAGTCACTAGACAAAACGAATTGTTTGTGAATGAAGTTCGACATGTTTGATCAATGAGTCGAGATGGAGCTCATTTAAAGCTCGTCAAAGCTCGAGAATATGAATGATTTATTGAAATTTTTTCCTTAGTTTGGCTAGTTAAGGCTCATGTTCGACTCGTTTATATAATATTGATAAACTAGTCAATTTTGAGCTCGATTATCAAGATGAGTTCGATAGAGGTTTGAGCTCGAGTTCGAGCTTGAGTGCCAGAAGCTCCAGCTTGGCTCCACTTATTTACACCTATATAAGAGTGACCCAATGTATATGATATATAGTATTCCAAGTTCTCATCACTTACTAAATTATGGCAAATTACATTAATCAGTAATTGCTATTTGCCTCATAGTACACATGCTTGAGAATATTCAATTTTTCTTTAGTTTTCCTAATAGTGCAAGATTTGGTAACAGGAACCCGGCAAAATTGAGTCCGAAATGAGTGCGTACGGAGCTAAAGCCGTTATCAAGAATATCCTCACAGACCGTAAGCCGGGCCCACCTTGTCTACCCAAGGAAAACCCGTTCGGGTCCAAAACCGACCAGGACATTGAATTGCCTCATTGGCTCACCCAACAAGACCTCGACTATTACGCACAAAAATACGACCAGAAGGGCTTCACCGGAGGACTCAATTACTACCGAGCACTAGACTTGTACAACAACATTTACGATTTTTTTAGGCAAATTTGCATATTAACACACTATCTTTTATGTTTTTGCAAAATCACCACATTTGTAATTTAGCAACTTAATACACTATCTTTACTATACTTGCAAATCGAATCATTATTGACGGCTCTGGTTACAAAACCTTCTTTTCGTCAATGCCATGTCAAATTTCTGTATATGGATCCGTCAATCATGTTTCGATTTGCTAATATGGTAAAGGTTGTGTATCAAATTGCTACATTAAAAAGGTAGTTATTAAATTGCAAAAACGTAAAATGTGGTGTATGTTAATATGGTATATTAATATGCAGTTTTGTCTTTCTTTATTACATTATGAGACATGATCAAACTCAACATTTTTATCTTTGATGATAATTTTGATGATTTTTTTTTTTTAATCTCGGGGGATTAAAAATGCGATGCAGGAATTGGGAGCTGACGTCAGCATGGACAGGGGCAAAAGTGAAAGTCCCGGTGAAATTCATCGTGGGGGACCTCGACATGGTGTACACGACTCCAGGAGTGAAGGAATACGTGCACGGTGGGGCCTTCAAAAACGACGTGCCCCTTTTGGAGGAATGTGTCGTCATGGCAGATACAGGGCACTTTATCAACCAAGAAAGAGCTCAAGAGGTAAATGCTTTGATTCGGGATTTTATCGCCAAGTTTTGAACTATATTGTTCGCGTATACGTGCATTCGGATAGCAGAGCCTAAATTAATTAAGCCTACGTATTTTGAGTTATAAATTTGGCAATGTAACAAACGACGGTCCTTAGTACTAGTTTCCGATTTCTTTAAGAACTATATTAGCACAATATTCTCCTTGTCTGAATTGATCTTTTGCCCATCCTCGAATCGAAAGAGGTTTTGTTGGTTTTATTCTTTATCGTACTATGATCAATTTCAAAAATCGAACTTTGATATAATGACTATAATCTATTAGCGTGAATTCGAAATCATTCAACTTCTATTGTGATTTGAACTTGTAAATTTGACATCTACAGATTTTAAATCCCTCAATAAATTGCTCGATCCAATCGTAGCCTTAGATGATTTTGAAGGTCCTGTAGCCACATCTTCTTGTTCTTGCATCATCTTAATTGTTTCCGGTGAACACATAGTTTTGGCTTGAAACATACATATAACTTTAAGCTCATTCAAACTAATTTTTTCTTTTTAAATTTGATCAAAATAATTCGAGCATATGCATTGGTACTTCTTCCAGTTTTCTTTTCAAAACCGTGTATATTAATTTTACTGTTAATTACACATTGATAATATTTATTTATTACAAAAATGAAATTCAATATATGTATATATATTAGTACCTCAAAAATAGGCACATATATCAATTTCAAATTAACTATATTATTTTATTATTCATTAAATTTATTGTACAAACAACTATTATAAATAAATATTTGTACCTTACACTTAAAATAATGTAATATTTTATTAATCAATTTATGTTATTAATCCCTTATAACCTATTAATTATTTACCAAAAAAGAGTTAATAGAAATTGATAAGCTAGTATATTGCACTATCATTAATTGACAATAGATTAGCCTAAATAACTTGGGCACCCCAAACTTGAAATTCTAAATACCATCTCCAAATTGGAAAAATTTCATCGTATTACATTACTCCGACTACGTTAAATTATTTTTATTCGTCAGATCAATATATATTCACGTTGCAATTCACAGAATTTTAACCCTCAAATCAACACACTTCAGAACTATCATATGCGAATTTTAACCGTTATATCAACACACAAACGTATGTATGTATTGATTTAAAGACCAAATTTACTCAACAACGTGATTATATGTCAATATAACGGTTAAAATTTGGCTAGAAGTTCACAAGACTAGTGAGTTGGTGACATTTGCCACATCACAATCTCCATATCGTACTTTATCCCGTTTGATTGGGACGGTTTTATTTTTAGTCCCAAGAGGCACATTTTCAGTCTTTAACTAATGTTTGTTCCGCATTTGGTCCCAAATTCAATCCTTAATTATTTTTTGTTCCGCATTTGGTCTCAAAATTTAATGGACCGTGAAGTCACCGTTAACCATCAGACTAAAATTGTAGTAGTTGATATTATTTTTATTTTTATTTTTATCTTGTAAAATTTTATTAAACTCTACATTTATGATTTATTTTTTTTATCAACCATTATAATTATAATAAAATTAAATGATGATTTTCTAAATATATTCAATATTTAATTAAAATATGTAAAATATAGAAAGCATTGTATTGCAATCGGAAAGTCGCCGGGTCGAGAATCAGTGGGTTTTTTTAATACATTAATAATAATATAAAAATTTAAATTTATTTAAATTTATATATATCAAATATATTTAAGTTTATAATTTTGTTAGATTAAAAAATATATAAATATTTATTATTTATTTATTTTTTTGTACAAAGAAGGAGGCCAGGGGCCCAAGAAACGACTATGCTAGAACGCGGTGAGGGTGGGCCACCCTACAGAAATCGTGGTTAAGCCATGCCTCCAACCCTTGGTGGGGTAATAGAATTCTCTGTAGTCCTAACGGGAAAGAAGCCGCTAGTGTCGCCATATGATCAGCCGCGAAATTGGCTTCCCTATGTACATGTTAAAAACGAACGCTCCAATCTCGGTCTGCCACGCTTCTGATGGCTCTGACTATGGCCTCGTGGACGCCAAAATGAGTTCCGAGTCCAATGACCATTTGTAGCACGCACTGGCTATCTACTTCAGCAATAACCTTTCGGAATCCTTACTCTCAGGCCAGTTGGATACCTTGAAACAATTTCCAAAGCTCAGCTCCGGAGATAGTGCCAACCCCAATATTCATAACCAAGCCTTCGATCCAAATGCCTTGCTCGTTTCGAATTATTCCCCCCGCATTTCACAATCTCGTGGTACGATTAAACGCCCCGTCAGAATTGACTTTGACCCAGCCCGCTTCCGGTGGGTCCCACTTGATCATGTGTGTATCGTATATCCTCGCTCCCGCCTTCACATAGGCGGTGACCGTCTTTTCATACGTCATTGATTTACGGGTAATGTCCAGGTATCGGGCCCCAACATCGAGCCGCCTGCCATTAAAAATTCTATCGTTCCTCCATCGCCAAGAACTCCACATCCCAAACCCGAACTGACTATGTCAGTTCTTGTTCATGTGCCGTTGAGCAGAACCCAAATTCTACAACATCCATGTTCGAATGTCCTGCTGAAAGAAAGCATCCTCTGCACCTGGAGGAAGGAACTTGCGCCACAATGTTTCTGGAGACGGGCAATCGCGTAGCGCATGCAACGTGGTCTTGGGTTCACCACATTCGTCATATGCCACTGAGCTAGTAATATGTCGTCGATATATATCTTTTAACATTGGTCAGGAGTAAGTCCCGGGCTACCAGCCACATGAATGATCGGACCCTTTGCGGTACGTTAGAGCGCCATATCAGCTTCCATAGGGGCTTATCCGGATCACTCACTGGTTAAGCTAGGTTCATGTAAGCCGCTCGTGTAGAGAATTGCCCATCATGAGTCCCGCTCCACATAAGACGATCCTCTCCGGCTGCTTCTCTCGGCGGTAAGATCCCCACAACTCGCATGATTACGGCAGATGGGAGGATTCCATGGAACTCGTTCCACTTCCAGTCACCCCGTTCATCTAATAATCCACGACTTTCAGGTTTATAATTTCATTTGGTGGTCGTTGATGGGCATGATAAATAAGAGGGCTGATTGGGCCAACCCAAGCGTCTAACCAAAAGCGCACCGTCTCCCCGTTACTGACACTCCATCGGGCCTCTATAATAGTATCCGGCCAAATCTTGGACAATGCTCTCATCAAAGGTGAACCCCTACGGCATCGTGAATTATCCAAACTGGACGAGGAAACGAGCCCATACTTCGCAGATAGAACTCGAGCCCATAATGTGTTGCTCTTGGAGAGGATGCCCCACCCAAGTTTCATCAAGAGAGCTTTATTCATCTTACGTAGGTCTTTAAAACCTAAGCCACCCTCATCTTTGGGTTTGCATATCCTTCTAGGCGACCATATGGACTTTTCGTTTCTCGACCGTGCCACCCCACACAAAAGCACGACTACGGCATTCTAGGCCCTTCGTGATCGCGCAAGGAAGCGTAGTCGCCTGTATGGAGAAGAAGGGTAGGGCGCTATTCACTGACTGGGCCAACCCGAGCGTCTAACCAAAAGCGCACGTCTCCCCGTTACCGACACTCCATCAGGCCTCTTTAATAGTATCCGGCCAAATCTTGGACAATGCTCTCATAAAAGGCGAACCCCTACGGCATCGTGAATTATCCAAACTGGATGAGAAAATGAGCCCATACTTCGCAGATAGAATTCCAGACCATAATGCGTTGCTCTTGGAGAGGATGCCCCACCCAAGTTTCATCAAGCTAGCTTTATTCATCTTACGTATAGGTCTTTAAAACCTAAGCTACCATCATCTTTGGGTTTGCACACATCCTTCCAGGCTACCAGATGGACTTTTCGTTTCTCGGTCGTGCCACCCCACACAAAAGCACGGCTACGACGTTCAAGGCCCTCCGTGATCGCGCAAAGAAGCATAGCCGCCTGCATGGAGAAGTAGCGTAGGGCAAATTGATCAGTCCGATCAACCAATTCTGACTGGTTCATTGGAAACCAGTTTCTTTAAAGGAATCCAACCATTTGACCGATTCTAAATTCAACAGTCAGTTTAGCCCAATTTAAAAAATAATAGTAGTTGATATTATTTTTATTTTTATTTTCATTTTATGTTTTAAATTTTTATTAACCTCTACAATTTGTGTTTTTTATCAACCAATATAATTATAATAAAATTAAATAATTTTTTTGTAAATAAATTTATTTTAATTAAAAATATTTAAATACAAAAAACATAAATAATTTAAATTCAAATATATTTGGATTTATATATATCAAATATATTTAAATTTATATTTTTGTTATATTAGAAAATATAAATATTTATTAACTTATAAATAAAATATATTATTGACCAGTCCATTCAACTAATTCTAATCGGTTCATGTTTGGTTGAGTTTTTTT